GAACTCAAAACATTGATCTCTACTCATTATACTTTTCCTTTCATATGCCTTCCCTGTTTTCTGTCTTTTGTAGACATCCTGTTTTTGATTGCATGGAAATTTCTTAGCCAAATAAAATTTAATATAGTGGCTTTTATTCTGGGATGTATCTATAAAATGAAGATTGATAAACAGGATATAGTTCTTGAATCTCTCGGAGACTGCTGCTACATAGCTTTATGGTTCCTTTGCTTTATTCCCCTTGTTGCAAGGTTTAGGGAAAATAATGACCGAATGGGAAATATTCCTTAAAAATAATATTCAAGGATAATACGTCATATATCTGTAGGTACTGTGTACAGCCAGGCTGTAAGGCCAGGCTTCACTCCAGCCCCTTTCCTACTCATCACTGAGGAACAGTTTCACTTGTATGCGTATACCTTCTGTATTTACCATCATGTACAGATTCAGCCCTACAGACTTTTGAAGCCAGTGGAGGTTTTATTGGAAGAATAGTTGTAGAATGTTGAGCTGGGAGACTTCAAATTGTTACCACCACTTTACATGCTGAATGGTTGTTTTTATGTTTTGTTTCTGTTAGAGTAAGGATGGGAAGAGCCCACTGCACATGACAGCTGTTCATGGGAGGTTCACACGGTCACAGACCCTCATTCAGAACGGTGAGTTTCTCTGCCTGTTTAATGACTCTCCAAAAGATTGTTTCCGATATTGTAGTTTTCAGTTGTTCCTACCCAGAGTGCCAAAGTACTGCTCTGAGAGCTGCTTAGTTCTCTATCACCTTCTGGCTTTGACCTGCACTGACAGCTCTCATTCCAGTGTGTCATCACAAGTTGAGACTTTGGTTGTTAAAATCCCATATTCCTCCAGCTGACGGTGGTCTGGCTGATCTGTTGTGATTCTTAACCTGAAAACAAGTGTTCAAAGCTGTATTTAGGTCCTTCTTCTGCTGAGAAGCAGGCACAACTTTATTTCTTATATTATCTAAAACAAAACAAAACAAAAAAACCAAAAAAGTTTCTAGTTGTTCTCCATTGGGAGCCCTCTTAGAGTTCAAGCTATTTTCTCCACCCTCCACTCAACAGCTGTACTTCTCTCACCTCCGTTAGCTCCACCTCTCGCCACTGTCTTCGTTAAGTGTTGAATAAATACTCAAGAGGGTGGACCAGCACCCCCTTGTTTGTTCTGGCATAACCAAGATTCCTGGTTGTCAGTCATTTATCAGGTATCTCTTTTGTCCAGGAACACTACAGAGGATTAATAAATATTATTGTTGGAGATCTGGCAGAGGTCTATTTCTGATAGACAGAGGTTGCTATTACTGGTTGTTTACTTATGCTTCTCAGTTTTGGCCACAATACCAGGCAGGATGGTCTGGGGTTGGTTGGTTGGGTTTTTGGTTAGTTTTCCAAAATCCCAAACTTGGAACCTAAGTGTGAGATGTTGAAGATGGCTGAACAGTTACACTGTAAATGTAATGACACATATACACGATTGTGTTTTGAAATTGAGGTCTTCAGTACATCATGCTTCTTTCAGGTCATCATGCAAATTGTTATTATATCTCTCCTTGGATAAATAAAATAGTATTAATAAAAGGAGTTTGGGCAAACTGGAAGAAACTGCTTTAATGCAATCTTTAGTTATTATTCAAATATGCTCTCTGACTCTAGAGCTGTTGTTTGCTCTCCATTGGTTTTGTGTGTGAAAGGACTGGCTGTTCTTCATCTGTCCTTCATGCCTGTCTACTCTTCTTCAAGTTACTTGGGTTTTGCTTCTTTCTTTCTTCGTTTGCCTCCCCTCTAATTTTAGTATTGTACACAGATCTGATTGCAAGGGACTTTGTACCTTGTCAGTGATTTAAAGAAGTGGATGTTCATTCTGCAGTACTTAATGAGTTGGCTAAAGATGTCTCAATTTCTCGCTACTGTCTCTAGTAACTTGTAGAGGAAGAATGAATTACCTTAAAATTAGAAAATTGCAAATGTGATACCTGTATTTAAGAATGGTAAAAAAGAAAAGCTGGAGAATTTTACATAGGTCAGTCAAAAATTTGGAAATGAGTGAATGAACAGTTTGTAAACACTTAGGGAGGAGTGGGCAATATTTGGCCTAGATTTCTCAAGAGTAAAAGATGCTGGAACATCATAATTCTCTTCTACAGCAGGGTAATAGGCTTTGTGAACCCAGCACAGTCCTCTGACTTTTCTGTGGGCAGGAAATGTTCATAGAGACCTCAGCTGGTGGATGCTCCACTCTGGGGAACCTGTTCCAGCATTTCACTGACTTTATTTACTGTTAGAAAATTCTGTGTAGTTCTTTATTAGAACTTGTTGAAGTTATGGCCTGTTATCTCCTGTGAATAGTGGACATGCAGTAAATATTACCATATGCTGATGTCAGCAAGACTTTTTACATGCTTTCATAAAGTTGTCTCACAGCAAACTAGTGGAGAGTATTTAAATATTACAGTGTTCGTGCATAACTAGTTGAAAAACTGCACTCAGAGATTAGTAGTAAATGGATTGTTGTTGAAATGGAAGGTGTAGTGAAGGGGGTTTCTGTTTCCCTCCTGAGTCTGGAACTATCCAGTATTTTCATTAACAACTTGGATAGTGGAATAGAAAATGTGCTTTTAACATTTGGCGCAAACATGAAGTTGGGAGAGACTGTTAGTTGAGCAGAAGGTGGAGTCAGAATGGAAAATGATCCTGTAAAATTGGAGACAGAAGTTACAGTGCAAGTGAAGCAAAGGAAAGATCCCACACACAGGCAGGAGTATCAGCTGGACAAGTTCCGAATAGCAACAGCTGGGTGGGTGGTAGTCCTCAAGAAAGGATCTGGGGCTTGTAGAGGATCAGAAGCCACAAGTCAACAGTGTAATGGTGCTTAAAAAAAATGATCAACAATGTACATGGTGCTGTCCAATGTACAGGAATGTATAGATAGGAGCGTAGCCAGCAGGCATGAAGTAATGGTTTTGCTCAGCTCAGTGTTGGGAGACCTCAGCTGTGGTACTCTTTCTGGCTTTTGACATTTTACTTCCAGAAGGATGTGGGCCAGCTGGAGAGGACTGGGGGAAGGATGAGAATAGTTGGAGTGCAGCAAATCTGACTTACAAGGAGAGACAGAAAAAATTACAGTTCCTTGGTCCAAAAAGAAAACAAGGGCTTGATAGAATCTTTGCATAGGTCAAAAGCCGCAGCAGAGAAGAAAGAAATAATCTATTTTTCCTGCTTGTGAGGATAGAACATCAGATGACAGGCTTAAGTTGCAACAGGAAAAGTTCTGCTTAAGTGCTATTTGGTTGTTCTTTGGTAAGAAACAGAGAAGGCACACAACACGCTTGCTGTTTGCAGTGTGTTCCTGCTGGCCTCTTAAACAAACTCTATTTAACATTGTTGTCTTCTTACAGGTAAGGTTGAATGGCAATACTTTTATGAATGAGGGAATAGTTTCAGCAGTTTATTTCGTTAGTTTAATTCAACGCATCCATTTGTACCTTTTAGATGAGCAGCAAGTCTGAGTCATGTACTTGACCATTATGTGTCAACCTGTTCACCTGTTTCCCACCATTTTCCCCTGCCAGTGCAGTTGGAGAGGGAGGTGAAAATGCTGCTGCCAGCCCATGTTCAGTACAGGCTGACAGGTGGCAGCTTGCTGTGTGCTGGTTCTTGGTCTCAGAAATTCAGTGTCTCTGTGGCTGGGCTGGTTAGGCTGCATTCGCTAGAGAGAAATAGTATTTGTGGTCACTGGTTCATTCTTATTATTTCAGTGTTAAACTGTATGAAAATGTCTTTTGCAGGAGGGGAAATCGACTGTGTTGATAAGGATGGTAACACCCCTCTGCATGTGGCTGCAAGATACGGACATGAGCTTTTGATTAACACCCTCATAACCAGCGGAGCTGATACTGCCAAGTAGGTGGCTGAAGTGGAGCTGTTTCTAATGATCAAGTGTTATGTCCGATGCCTGGAAACACTGTTACTCCTCAGGTTCTGAAGTGTGAAGGTTAAAATGGATAAGCGTAATTGTACTGTACTTCAGTGGGTGACATGGGGCCAAAATATGAACGCTTGGGAAGCGTGGAGGGGAAGGAAGCCCTGCTAAGTTCCTGCTGTGCCCAGTTATGTGGTTACAAGTAGTACAAGTACTGCTTCTTTTTCCTATAGCATTGATGTGGCAGACTGGTATGCAATGTACATGAAGTACATATGTATATAAAGTGCATCTTGATAACTGTTATTCCAGAAAGTCTGTAGCAATTAGTTTGCATAGGAAACATAACTGAAAAAAATTCAGATGCCTTCCAAGGGAATTGTGTGCATATTCCTGAGTATCTAAATTAGCCTACTGTTTAGTGGCCTGTCATACATGGTGATTATTCTTTTGTCTTGTATCTTTTGGTATGACATGGGATAATGAACAGAAATGCAGTATTGCAAAGCAGATACTATTAAGCATTTCAGATCTCAGTATAACTAGAGCCTGTCTTGATGTTGCATAGTTTCTGATATTCAGGTGGCTAAAATAATAGGACTGCTTTTATCTGATTTGTGAGTTTGGGAGTCTTTTTTTAATAGAAGGACAAGGAGCTGAAATTAGACACATTTCTAAATGTTGTTAGTACTTTCTGCTTCAGTTCATTTTTTTTTTCCTTGCACATGTGTCAAGACTGCACCCACAATATTATAAGTCTTGTCAACACAAACGTGGAGCAGGTGCTTGATTTTTGAGAGTGTTTGAGTATTTGTTAGTTATAGTCAGGTTCTTATGGTCTGTCAAAAGAAAATACCAAACCTGAAGTTAAACAAAGGGGTATAAGACCAGAGTAATACAATGCCATGAGGGATATCTGAATCAGGTGTTTGATAGGAGCATCTGATTTCATGAATGGAAGTTTTTGGCAATTACCTCCACATGTCTCCAAAATATAATTTAAGAGTCTTCTACCTGGAACCTACCATAGAAATCAGTGATTTCTCTTTACTTATCTAGCTAGGGAAACCTGATGCAAATGAGCTGGTTTTAGTTTTGAAGATACTTGCAGCTCTCAGTATTTTGTTTGTGTGCTTGACCATGTTTAAGAAAGTGGCATATTTGCCCATATTACTTTTTCAAGTACAACTGTCACCATGCAAACTTGGGAAGTGGAACAGAATTTCAGTTGGCATGGATAACGAAATTCCATGGGTTTCAGCTAACGTCACTGGATTTTATTAACATAGACAGCATGAAGATCTTGGTGTCCAAATAGGTGTGTATTTTTCCTAGCTCTTTCTCCAGTACAGTAAGTCTCAGTCTGTCTCATATCTTAAGGTTTAAAGAGAAAATGAGATGCAGTGGGGTAGACCACTCTTGGAATCGGGGTTGTCCAGTTAGAAATTTCTATTTCACACTTGGGTGACTGTAACATTGATTGAATAAAACACTTTTTCCAGCAGCAGAAATAAGTGAACTAAGAAGTTGGCTCAGAGATACCAGGCAGATCCAAACAATGCTACTGTCTGTGTAGAACAAGGAGCATTGAAAGGCTGGGAATGGGCTTTCATATGTGCTGCATGTAAATAACTCTGGCTGAGCTCCCCCAACTGGCTTTGAAAAGAAAATTCTGCAGCGTTGTTAGCAGCAACTGCAGACAGCTCCATCAGACTTTGAGGCAACTGCATTTAAAGAGGAAAGAATGTAAGTGATGGGAGGAACCAGGGTGAACACTTCTACAGAAGCGTGACACTGGTTGCCAGATGTGCAGATAGTGTATTTTAATGGAAACCGGCCAAATATGTGCTGAGTGGAAATCTTGACCTAAAAGAAGAAAAATACTGCTTTAGATAACTAAGTGGAGGAAGAGATAGAGTGAAATGGGTGTAGGAAGAAGCACAGCAATACAGAATGTCCAATGTTAGCTTAAATAAATGAATCCACAGCTGAAAAATGCAACCGATGAAGCAGCTTGGTGGAGCTTGTGCTATTTCCATCAAAGAATAGGCTGTCAGATCATCTTTTAATAGATTTACTCTTAAAATGTAGATGCTGACACTGGCAAAATTAAAATTTGTACAGCATCAGAAGTCACTCCTCAATGCAGTGAATCAGCAAGGAGGACACATTTAATGTGAAGACAGAGGACGGATGAGCCCGTGGATTCTGGAAAGAATAAGTTCTTTAAAAACAAACCAAAATCAGTTAAATACATATATGTATAAAATGTTGTCAAGAGCAAGATATCTTTATAAACATCCACATTCATTTTTGTCTAAAGCTTCATAAATAATTATGATTTACGATGAATCTTGCAGAAAGACAAGTTCCTTTGTCTTTGGGTGCATATCTTGAAATCCTCTTCCATGAGGTGATCATATTTTCCCATCCACCAGTTGTCTTCAGAAATGAAGGGCAGATATGAATCCATCTGCTATTGTTCAGGAGTTTGGCATTTTTCAAAAATATATCTGCTGAAGCAGGCAGTAGATGATAATCTTGTCAAGATAGTTGGTTTTGGAGGCTCCATGTGTATGTGCACTTGGAGGACCGCCAGTAGGATAATATTTCTAGAACAACAAGATGCTTTTTGCAAAACAATGCTAAATGACAGAAGCCAAGATGTCCAAACCCAAAAGTCTTCTAAGATGGTAAATGGCAGCGTGCTTAGGTACGGAACTGGGATGATTTGCTGATATTAATAAAAGCCATTGAGTGCTCAGCTTGCTTAAAACGTATGTGGTTGCTTGATACAAATTTAGTCTAGTGATAGGTGCCTACCTTTTTTTTTTTACCCAGCATGTCTGCTCTGAGAATTTTATAGTGTAACTGAAAAGAGGATCATATATTAAAGGGGGGAAAAATTGAAAGGAAATGTGAGGGGAGTAGATGGAGCAAATAGGAAAATTTAGCTGTTTGGTTTTTAGGATAGGGGAAGAAAACTGTCACGGCAGCCTAAAGAAAAGTGTGAAGAAGAGTCATAAGCTACCCCAGCCCCAAGAGAGAGAGAAAGGGGGGAGAAGGGGAGGCTTAGAAAACCCACGAGAGTTATCCAAAGGATGTTAACTGCAGGAAAAAATGTGTTTCAGAAATAATATTGAGAAGATTTTGGCATTTACTTTCACTTTAGAATGGCAGCTGCAGTAAGTGTAACTGATGCAGAAATTTGAGCATCCCACGCTGGGAAACTGACTCGAAGCAATATCTGCTCTCTTGCTTCCTCCCTTACCCTGGCTTTTGCCTTGAATTTTTAGAAACCTTCCTGCCACGTTCTGTTCAAAGTGTAATGCCAAGATTTTGCTGTATCAGAATATTTTTAACTCCTGAGAAGGCTGGTAAGGAAATAGACATAAAAATAACACGGCAGGAAGAATCTTCCTCGAAAAGGATAAAAAATACTGCCTTTGTGGTAGGAGCTTTTAATGTGTTGTGTCTCTTTGCAACCTGCATTTTCACGTGACTCTGTGTAATGAGGCTGTTGTGCCTTTCAGGTGTGGGATCCACAACATGTTCCCTTTACACTTAGCAGCACTGAATGCTCACTCAGACTGCTGCAGGAAATTGTTGTCATCGGGTAAGTAACTCCCGCAGTGTCTGTGGAGCTTGAGTAGTGTGTGTCTCTGCTGCTTACAGCCCTTTTATACTCATTGTTGCGGATTGTTCAAATGAAAGACTTCCTGTGCTGCTGTGTTTGGCTATGTGGTGTAGTGTATGGGAGCGTGCAAGACCTTCCTAACGGCATGCTGGTACTTCCTTGCATCCTGTATTGTTCATGGCTGAAGCTCTTTTCTTCTGTCAGGTTCAGAGAGCTTGTATTAATTCACCAGGTGAAAGGAGGAAGTTTAGGACCCTTTTCCAAACTGTAGGAATGTGAGATACTGTTTTGTTTTGTTTTTTTCTCACCCAAAGGAATTTTTCAGGAAATTATCTCCTTGGGGCCTGCCGTGGCGCATGTATTTACATCTCACTGATGGTGATGTATTTTAGATACAGCTGAAGTATGTTTCTGAATCCAGACAGAGTAAGGGAGTTAGGCTGGCCAAAGCTCTTTGGGCATGAGAGGGGAAATGAATGAAAATGTAGTGTTGAGAGAGCAGTCTCAGGATCCTCATCAGAGCCCAAAGCAGAAGAAGTGGGAGTTTGCTGATACAACCATTTCAAAAGAGGCAGTAATCAGGTGCCAAATCCCAATTTTTTTTTTTCCAGGCAGGAGTTCCCATGAGTTAAAAAAATCACAAGTCAGATCATATGCTTTTTCCAGAAAATTGCTTAATTACTTAACAAATAAAATCTCCTACAACTTTTCCCCCAAACTTGAGTCTTACCAGATATAAAAAAAGTGTGAAAAATGGCAATTACATACCCCATTATGTTAAACCTTGGTGCGCTCTGGCCTTGACCACTAGATCAGGAAGGAAGAGAAAAAGCTCTGGGTGACCAGAACTAATACTGCCAGGCTTGTATGTTTGGCCTTGTGCATCTTGATGAATATCCCTGCGTGCTCCTGGAAGCCTCTTTCCAACCTGAAAACCACACACAGTAAAAATGGCCCCATTTCCTGTTCAGGCTGGCTCTGTGTTTTTTCCTCATTTCTTCATGTTTTCTCTCTTCATGTCCTGCTGTCACAGTCCTCTTGCCTCATGAATGCCTGTCACGTGGTTTTAAATAGGGATGTGGCGTAGAGCTGGATGTGGACATAGATGCACTTTGGCTTTGCAGCTCTTTTTATAGAGCTGCCAAACTGGAGCAGCCGCTCACCATTCCTGTGACAACCTCTTTCTGACTGCAGTTGCTTGTGTTCTGTTTTTTCCCAACTAACTGATTTTTCTGTCTCTGCAATGTTTCTTGTGGTTTAACTAGGACAAAAGTATAGCATAGTGTCCTTGTTTAGTAATGAGCACGTGCTGTCTGCAGGCTTTGAAATAGACACCCCTGATAGTTTTGGAAGAACGTGCCTCCACGCTGCCGCAGCAGGAGGGTGAGTAGCTATGACTGTCGCTGTTGTAAGTTATTTTGTGGTTTCATGCAGATATGGTGCCAGACAACTTGGCTGTGCCTTCCACAGAGGAATTTGTTGTGGCGCAAGGAAAGCAAAGTGGTCTGATGTCAAATTTGGGTCATTGGAGGCTGTCTTTTGCCACTGCCCTCGTGCAGGGGTTGCTTGCAAAGTAAAGGAGATGTTCTGGTTCCCTCTACCGCAGAGAGCTGGGTTGTGTTTTGAAGCATGTGTTCCAGGCACAGGGTAAAACTCTTTCTTTCCATGCCTCTGTGAAGACTGGTTCGTCTTTGGGTTGGGGTACTGCGTACTTGCCCAGGTCTGTCTGTTGGCCACAGTGGTTACTGAGGGCCAGCAGTCAGCAGTAAATCATCAATTCCTAGGGCAAAGCGAACGAGGAGGATGAGCTGTAGGTCCTGGGATGCTGCTGGCATGAGAGTTATTCCTAGCCTCCACCTTTGGACTGTGTCCTTGTCCAAAAATGCAACTACACAACAGTGCCCATCAGATTGGACCCTGGAGTCCAAATGCAGCTCATCTCCCTCTTACCCATTTTTCAGGTGCAAGTTTAAAAGTTTCTAAAAGAAAAACTAACAAACCAAAACAACAATGCAATGCTAAACCAAACAAACAAACCCCCAGCCTTCAACTTAGAAAGTCAAAAGGTTGTCATTCCCTCAAGGTGATGCATTCCTGATAAGTGCTAAGAGGCCAGAAATGGAAACAAATGAAAACTGTAATACATCAATTTAAGTTGTAAATGTAGCATCCAGTTTAAATAGTTCCAAATAATTGTCAGTGGAGTGCTGTGAAGTTAACCTAACAAAAGGACAAAACATTTGGCCAGCATTGAGTTTCGACTCTTCTGCTGAGTACTTTATGGCTTAGAAAGCAGCTGAAATGGAGCCTTGGCTAGAACCCAGCTTGGGTTCTCTGTGGTTATAGCACACAGAAATGGTCATCCACAGCAAATACTTGGCAGTCCTTCTGGAATTTCTTTTTTCTTCTTGGTGGACCAAAATGTATATCGCAAATTTTTTGTTACTACAAAAAACTGATAAAATTGATCCAAATACAGTTTTTATTATTCTTATGGTATTACTCTGCTTGATGCTTGTCTCACATTAACAGAGGAGGTATGACTGTTGCTTGGATGGAGATGATTATAGTATAGTTCAGTTGCTACCTCTTCGTTAAGGCTGCACCTCAAAAGAATAATAAAACCAACCTGCAAGGCCTAAAGAGGAGAGGCTTCGTAAGAAGTAAAAGTGGCTCATGAAAATAAACCATATTTTTCCAGTGGTTTACTACAATTGTCATCACTAACAAGTATTTTTATTTTTAGTATGTTGTGGTGGGTGTTCTGTAGCTATTTTATGCAATAGCAATTTAGAGCAGGGATGAACATATGCCCACATATTGCATCCAGTCTTTTTTTTTTTTTCCCTGAGCTGGAGCTGTACAAAAGGCATTGGTTTCTTTTCTTGACACATGCCTGTTACTCCCATTACATTAATGGGAGTTGCAGGGGTAGCAGGAAAAGAACATACTTCAAAGGTCTGCTCATCTGATTGTGAAAACCAATGACTTATTGCCTCTGTGAACGACAAGGAGTCTTGGAAAGTGCTGCACTTCTTTATGTCATTTTCTGGCTTGGTGTCATACATTCATTTGTTTGAATTACAAAAGATGTGAGAATTCAGCTGTTTTATTTTCTATTAAAAGTCACCTGGCTTTAAACAAGATGAAGCAGCAGCTATGATGTGGTGAATTCTTTCAACAGATGCAAAGCAATGGCGTCCAACTCATCCGTTTATATAAATGCAATATTGACATGACAATCACTTTAAATAACTGTGCTCCTTATTCAACAACACACTTAGAGATGTGCTTAAATCTCTCAATAGTCAACAAATCATCTGAGAATAAACCTAAAAGTGACTTTTGTGATTAAATCTCACAAAGTAAACAGGATTTGAGCAAAATGCTTACTGCTGAATGCTTTGCTGAACGGGGGTGGATTTCATTAAATGTCACCTCTTCATTATTAGACTGGCATTTTATACGCTAGCAACAACTTTCCTTTAAAGTTTTCTTATAAAATACCAGATCAGTGTGGGAAGCGTTGGAGTACAGCTCCCACTGAAAATCTTCAAACACATGGAATTCAGATCACATTTACTCCTCGGAAAATTATTTCTTTTTTCTTCAGCAAAAGAGAAGTTTGAGGTTTTCTAGGAAAAAAATAAATAATTGTTTACAGCTTCATTTTCTGTTTGATTGAATTTCGTGTTGTATTTTGCTGTACCCTGTTTTTGTGTGGCACATAATACAAAAATAGAGTGACTTTTTTTCTTTTGGGGGGCAGGGGGCAATTCAGTTGTAAACGTCTGTTTTGTTCATTTTTTGTTTTCTTTACTTCTTTTTCCAGTAATGTTGAATGTATAAAACTCTTGCAAAGCAGTGGAGCAGATTTTAATAAGAAGGACAAATGTGGGAGGTAGGTAAATTATGGAGCTAATTTAAAAAAGAAAAAAAAAAGGGATCTAGCAGGCAAGAAAGAAAGACCACCTTAGTCTGGAAATCATATATTCTATGAAAAAAGACCGTAAAATAAAGGAGTTTGGCCTTCCCTGCT